CCCCCACCGCTCACCCACCCCCAAACCCCCCATCGTCATCCCCACATCGCCATGACACCAGGGCCCACGCCCCACCTGGGGTCCTCCGGGTGCACCGCCACGGCCGTGTCCCCGAGCATCGTCTCTGGGCGCGTGGTGGCCACCACAATCTCGCCCTCGCCGCTCTCCAGGGGGTACGCGAACGACGTCAGCACGCCGAACTCCACGGGCTGGAGGTGGGTATTGAGGGGGTGGGGGGTGGGGGGTCGTCGAGGACACGGTCGCGCGCGACCCCACGTGGGGATGCAAAACTTGGCGCCCATGCGACGTGAGAAGAAAGGGGCCATCTTCAAGGCTGCCGAGGCCCAACGCTGAAGAGTTTGCACGGAAGGGGCCAGGACAGGCGCCAGAGTGGCTATGGCAGGCAAGCTCATACAAACGGGTGCAGCAAAGGGCGCCGCGGCCGGGCCAGGCCCCCCCACCTGGTCGAAGCCCGGGACGTTGATGAGGGTGCGACCCGGGACATCGATGTAATCCACCTTTTGGGGGACGGAGGGGGGAGAATCAGGCATATGAGGGTGCTGGGGAAGGCGTGTCCTGCAGAGGGCCATCTGCGCTGGCACGGGCAACGCCACAGATGCAGCATTGAGTGCAGCCGTTGCCCCAGACGAAGGATTCCGCTTCCTTTCTCGGCCCCCGAACGCGCGACACGGCGCCGCTCGCTCCCGCGTGCCAATCCAGGCGCCCCAGCTGGCACCGTGGGAGCAAGGAGGAGGGGCGCAGCAAGAGGGCACCTGGGGGACAGAGCACGAGCACGCCAGCGCGGCGACGCCCATCACGCTGGCGCACCGGCACGCCGCCGCCGCACCTCGATGTCGGACACCGCAGTGCGCAGGCGGCAGTCCCAGTTGACGAGGCGGTTGTCGCGGTAGATCACGCCCCCCTCGTACATCCGCACAAACGCTTCCAGCACGGACGCCTGGAGGTGGGCAGGCCGGGGGCGGGGGCACGGGGACGGGGGGGAGAGAGCGTCTGTCGCGTGTGCCGCGCTGCAAGAAAGAGGGGGTGCCAAACGGTGGCGGGACCCATGGTTGCGCCAAACCAACCCGCCCCCAAGGCGCGCCGCGCGTGCGAATGACATGCAGACTCCAAAAAATCCCAACAGGCGGGCCCCGCCTCATCCCGGCGCCCAGCAGCAACCGCGCCGGCGCCGGCTGCGCGCACGTGCCTCAATCCCCCCAAACCCCGCAAGACGGGACCTTCTCCAGCTCCCTCCTCCCCCCACAAGGCACCCTTTCCCTTCATAGAGCCCGCAACCCATAAGATCCCCTTCCCGGCATCAACACGGCCGCCCCCGACCCCGCCCCCCCGCCCACCGATCGCGCGTCGTCCATGGTGAAGACCTGGCGGCTCCAGTCCACGCTGGAGCCCATGCGCCGCAGCTGGCCGCAGATGCGGCCGCCGTAGTCCTTCACCCAGCTGTACACCTCGGTCAGGAACGCGTCGCGACCTGAGGGGTGGGGGGCGGACGCCGTTGAGGGTGCGTGTTAGAGAGAGCGAGTGTGTGGTGTGTGTGCGTGTGGTGTGGGTGCATGTGTTTGTATGCGTGCACGTACTTGTGTGTATGTATGGTGTGTGTGTGTGTGTGTGTGTGTGTGTGTGTGTGTGTGTGTGTGTGTGTCGCCGCGTCCAGGTTGGGGGCGAGCAAGCCTCCAGGTGGCGTCGTGGTGCATCGCAATGCAGCAGCGCGACACCACGACAGCATCTGGCCGCGCGAGGCTCCCAAGAAACCCCAAGACGCAGTGCTGACCAGCCACACAAAGCCCCGCATGTGCGCGTGCTTGTGCTGCGTCCACCCTGGGCATGCGCACATACGTACACCCTGCGCACGCCCTGGCATGCGCCGCACGCAGGATCAAAGACAAAAACAACAGCATACACGCAGCTCTTATAAACATGCCCATATCAACCACACAAAGCACACATGCGCGTGCACACCCACGCCCTCACACACACACACACACACACACACACACACACACAGGCACACAGGCACGCACACACATGCACGCATGCATGCACGCACACATACACACACACACACACACACACACGCATGCGCCCGCGCGCGTCAGACGTCCGTCCACCCACCCAGGTCGTGGCGCGTGATGCGGCGCTCCTTGGCCAGCTTCTTCTCCACCACGCTCTGGGTGGCAATCCCGGCGTGGTCCATTCCCGGCACCCACAGCACGTTGTACCCGCTCATGCGGCGCCACCGCACGATGGTGTCCTGGGTTTGGATGGTGGCAGCAAGTGTGCGGGTGTGGGTGCCTTGCTGTGGGAACGTGCATGCGTGCAAGACTGGCTGTGGATGGGTGCAGAAGGGATGCGTGCGTACGAGCACACGCACACACACGTGTGAACTTGTGGGTCCAACCTACAGCAAGTGTCAACAGTGCGTGCAACGCAGCAACAGCGTGTGTGGTGTCGCACTCGAACACAGCCGAACGCTGTCTTGGCCAGACATTGAACGCAACATGGACAAGCAGATCAGGTGTGCATGCATGTAATAGTGGGGACGTGGGGCAACAGCACAGCAGATTGGCAAAAGCCATATGGCTGGAAGTGGGGGAGCGCACCGCGCGGCCCAGTCTCGCCGAGCCGGTGCCTGGCTTGCACCCCTGGGACTGCATCCGCCTCCCAGGGGCCCCTCTCGTGCAACCGCGCGCACCTGAATGGAGTTCGTGAGCGCGTGGCCGATGTGCAGCGCCCCGGTGACGTTGGGCGGCGGGATGACGATGACGAAGGGCGGCTTGTCGCTGGCCAGGTCGGGCTTGAAGAAGCCGCACTGCTCCCACCACTCGTACCACGCGGCCTCCACCTGCATGAAAATTGCACGTTCACATTAGCACGTTTTATGAAAAAAGTGCGTGCACATACTTCCGGTCTGCGTAACTTGCAGGAGGGGGGGCATCCAGATGGCTGAGTGCTGGACCACTCTAGCCACACCCAGACGCCTCAATCAGGGCCCTCGTCCACGCCTCGGCCGCCTGCAGGCGCAACCCCCAGCCCTCCTCTGTCAAGCCGGCGCAGGGGCCCGGGTTGAGCCCCCCGGACTGACCATGGTCGGGTGGTAGCCCTTGTACAGCTCGGCGGGCATGATCTTCCTCTCGCCCTTGGGGGTGGAGCGGACCTCGGCCAGCAGCTTGGCCACCTCCTCGGCCTCGGCAGCCTGGAGGATCATATGTGTGTGTGTGTGTGTGGGGGGGGGGGTGAGCGTGTGTCAGTGGACATACTCGCGTGCGTGTGTGCGTGTGTGTGTATGTGTGTGTGTGTGTGTGTGTGTGTGTGTGTGTGCGCGCGCGTGCATGCGTGGGTGTACATGTCGTGGATGGCATGCATGTGTTGGGGTAAAGGCGGCGAGTGGGGCTGCGTGGGTTGCAAGCACGGCAAATGCGCAGGGCAGGTCGTGTCCACCACAGGCACGGGTCAACAAAAACCAGCCCATCACCAGCCCTACAACGGCAGCAACCGCCCCCGCTCAAACTGTGCTCCTCAGCCAACCCCAACTGCGACGCGGACGGCGCAGACGTTGCGGCCCTTGCAACGCGCCTTTTTGGCATCCGCCTCCGCCTTAGCCTTAGCCTTCTTATCATTGCCGCCGCCGGCCTTGTCCGCCGCCGCCGCCGCCGCGGCCGCCTTGGCGGCAGCCTTGGCCCGCTTGGCCTCCTTCTCGGCCAGCTTGGCAGCCTGGTGGAGGGGGGCGCACGGACCGCAGCGAATGCACAACCGATAACCTTCGGCTCCCATGTTGTGGAGCAGCCACCAAGACGATCCCATGGGACTCGCTGCATTCCCTGCTGCTCCCCGCCTCACTGTCAGCAGCCGCTCTTGCGGCACGCTCCAGGGGACCCGGGGGCGCTCCTGCCGGGCATCTCCAAAGCGGCCACGTTTCCTGCTTCTCCCGCAGCCCCAGCCACCCGCAGCAGCACTGGGGCTGCCAGCCACACTGAAATCCCTCGCTTCCGCCCACCTTCTTGGCTGCCTTTTCCGGGTCCAGCTCCTCCTTGTCGCCGCCACCCTCACCACCCTCGTCATCCTGCTGCTGCTGCTGCTGCTCGCCGCCCTCGGTCGCCCCCGCCGCTGCGCCCTTCTTCTTTTTCTTCTTCTTGTCCGCCGGCGCCGCCGCGGGCTCGGCCCAGCCGCTGGCGGCGCAGAACTTCACCTCGCCTGCCGTATGGGCGGTTGGGGGGCGGTTGTAGGTCTCAGCCAACCCCTCCCTCCGTGGTGCTCGTTTAAGTAGGAGGTGTGCAATCAAGGTGTCCAGGCGGCCGCCTTGGAAGTGCTGCCTGATGAGACCATGCGCGGGGGCGGCCTGCAGTGGCCGCACGAATCCCTGTCGCCGGCTGCCGAACGAACCCCCGCTCACCCACAACCGGCGCAAAGTGCTCGCTCTCCGCCGCCCCCCGCAGCCACGCGCCCGTCGCCGGGAACCCCGCGCGCACGTCCTCCCCCAGCACGCCCCGCCACAGCGGCAGCAGCGCGCACGCGACCGCGACGTCCGCCAGCGTCAGGGGGCCGCCGCCGGCGCCCAGCAGCGACGCGGCGGGGGCGGCGGCGTCGGCGGCGGCGCGCGAGAGCTGCGCCTCCACCGCGCCCAGGTGCGCCAGGATGTCAGGTCTCGACGCCTCGCGCGCCTTTGAATATCGCAGCAGGGCAGTGGTTTGTGGGGGGTCGGCATGCGGGCGTGTTGGTTGACTGAGTCTGGGCGGCAGCTGGGGCGCTGTAGATGCGGCTCAAGCCGCGCGCCCGCTGCAGCCCACTGCTGCAGCCCGGCAGCCCCGAGATCGCAGCCGCCACATGGCACGGAGCCCCAATCGCCGTGCGTGCTGGAACTAGCCGCAGAGGTACGTGCGCGCTGCGCAGCACAACAGGCGCGCGGCTGCCTGCCCGTGGTCCTCGCGCCCTGTTCTGCGCGACCAGCAGGCGGAGTGGCCTGCGGGCGGGCAGGGACGCATGCGCGGGCGTGCGCCTCGCACCTCGTCTGTTGTGTGGTGGCTGGTCGGCTCCAGCCAGGCGCCCGCATGGGACTCCAGCTCAGCCGCCACCTCCAACCACCGGTCCACCTCGCCCTGCGCCGCCGCGGCCGCGCCGTCAACCCCATGCGCAACGTCAAGCGCCGGGCGGGCGTCGCGGCGTCGCGCCGGGGGGCGGACACGCCATGCTTATAAAGCACCTTGTTTGTGAAGGCAGTCGCCTGTGGGCTGCCTCTGCAGACCAGGCTTGCTGCCATTCAGCCTGCCTGGGCCCCCAGCAGCCTGCCCAGCCCCCGCTCACCGCGAGGTCCTTCGGGACCAGGGCGTCGCCCTTGCTGTCACCAGAGGCGGCCACTGCGCACGAGCAGGGGTGCGGGATGGCGTCGCCTCGTATGCACAAACCTGCGGTCAACGGAGGGACGCCAGCCCACCACCTGCCCCCGCCAGCCTGCTCCTAGAGCACGGACTCCCGATCGCCACTAGCGGCCCAGGCTTTCCTGATCCCAGCCAATGGCCCGGCTGGACTGGGCGCACTCACCAGCACGCACGACCGCCATCGTGCCCACGACCTTGTGCCCCTCAGCCGTGGTGAGCTGGGGCGCCTGATTGCAGGAGCAGCAGGAGCGGCGCGCAGCGCGCAGCGGGCACCCGTTGCAGTTGAGTGCCGATGCGGGGTTAGGTAAATGCCAGGCGGATATCGTATCGACTTTTCACCTGCAGGTCAGGATCGGGAGCCTCCACGGTAAGCTTGGCCTCGACCATCCGTGACAAGATCAGGACCTCCGCCTGGCTCAAGTGTCCAGGAGGCGCCTGGAAGGTCGCCATGGCTAAAGGACTTCAATCAATGACCCCTAGATAGCAATCCTATGCTCCACGCCGACCAAAAGGGATTGCTACAGTGTGCCGGCTGCTGCTATTGATGGCCCAGCTGAGCTGCAGCTGCTCAGGACAATGCGTCGTAAGCGATCAACGGCGAAATGGTGCGATGGGCGTGACCGTTGCCGGGGTTGGGTGGGTGGAGAGCGGCACCTGCCAAGCAGGCTGCGTCAAAGCAGCTGCTCTGCTAGCTGGCTTCCCACCGGCTACTCCGCCTCCATCTGCGGGCATGATACCTTTGACACAAACGTTTGGCCCTAATATGTCATGTTTATTCCTCTCACTTCCGTAAGACGGCCATCAACGCGTGAGGAGCCTCAGCAGAGAAAGTGGATGTGCAGTGGGTCGCCCACCGCTGTCTTTGCCCACACTGACAAAGTGCGAATCCTGTCGACCTGGCAGCAAAGCTGCAAATGCTTTGCAACAACACTGCTGCTTTGATTACCAGAGTGCATAGCCCTGCCGGCAAGATTGGGGGTGCCAAGCTCAAAACTCATGTCGGCCGAACGGGACTGAACGCAGCTACTGTCGCGCTGCTCCAGCCATTGTGGCCAACAGCTTGGTGATGTAGCTGCCCTGAAGCAGAAGGCAGCAACAGTGGGAGCAAAGCCATCAACTGCAGCAGCGGGCCATGCAAACAACCAAGCGCTTGGGTGCGGCTGATGACGAAGCTGCCGCTTGCAAGGTGAGATGTACAGGCGGCTTAGCTCACAGTGTGCCGCGCGCCTCGCGCCCACCACTACAAACAAACCATGCGTAGCCGCCCATGCAGCACCACAAACACAATATGCCGGCCCCGCGCATCACGTCGTGATCTGCAGCTCCAGCAGGAGGCCATAGTGGTCTGAGGGCAGCACAGGCAGCTTCTTGGAGCCGCCGTTCTTGAAGCCCTTGGTGTAGGTGACCCCCGGGATGGCGTCCTGCCCCACGATGCGCATGGAGCCAATGCTGTCGTGACATGTGCAGGCAAGGTGGCCACCAGGGTGGCACGCAGTGGGGGCGACCGTGGGCGCGAGACAGGCGAGCGCAAGGCAGGGGGTCGGCATGGATGCGTTGTGGTGCGTTGGCCCAGCGTGCTGCAGCAGCATCCTATTGCAGCACTTCAGCAATGGGGTCTCTGCCCGCCCCAGCCTCCCGCCAGGCGGTAGAGTCTGTGCTGCCGCTTCTCCAGCCACCCTGCAGGATGCACGCACCGCATGTCCCTGAGCCGCGCCAGCACTCTGTCAAGCCGGTTGCCTGGCCAGTTGCCCATCTGATTGCGATTGCTAGGGCACGTGGGTGTGCAAAAGGGTACATTTTTGTGCAGTGGTCTGCAAGGCTGGCCAGAGCTGACAAGTACGCCTGCAGCACAGGGAGTGTTATGCATGCAATCTCAAACTTGTCGACGACGAAACAGAAGGATGACGGGGCAAGCGCTGCCCAAATTGCAGACCCGAATCGGGAAGATAGACGCTCTCACCAGCATCTTGTTAGACTTTGTGTCGTAGGTGAAGCCGGGGAGCCCTGGGTTGGAGCTGACCCACGCATCACACCACCCAGCCTACGTTGAGCAAGTGATCGCGGATGCATTTTTCAAAGAGTGTGTGTGCGTGCGTGTGTGTGTGCCTGCATGCGTGCATGCGCGCGTGTGTGTTTGTGTGTACATGCGTGTGCGTGCGCGTGTGTGTACGTGTGCACGTGCGCACGCGTTCGCATGCCTAGCGAGCATTTGCGAGGGCGCCGGGTGCCCGTCTCGGCGTTGCCTACCACAGCCCTGCATGACGCAGCCTGGACAAAACTGCACACGCGACGTGCCTATCCGCGTGCATGTGATCGCGGCGTGCCGCAGACAGCACGCAGTGAGCATGCAGGCACAGTGCGCGGGCACCCTGTGCGCGCACTTTGAGGGGCGGCGCTCCGTCCCTGTTGTCGTCCCAGTTGAGATCGCCTACATCTCAAGCGGGGCGGGGCGGGGCGTTGGAGGTCGAATCTTGACCACAGTTTCAGGCATGTTGAACGCGACTGGGTCGTCGGGGCGACATAAGTGAATATCTTTGCAAGGTGCTGTCCAAGCCATCCTTGTCTCCTCGCACAACCTCCCAAGCGAGACATCGGGCCGCACAGAGCTGCGCCGCTGTTGCATCTGCACCGGCCCGAGCCAGCAAGGCGCCGCCCACGCCCGCGCCCGCGCCCACCCGCAAACAGGACGTTGCCGGCCGGCGCGGCGTCCAGCACGCGCATCGCCTCGCGCATCTGGTGGGTGCGCTCATCCACAAACATGCCCTGCGGCGGGCAGGGGCTCTCCAAGTGCGACGTCGCCACAACCAGTGGGGTGCCCCCCACGCTCGTCATCAGCGTCAACAGGCAGCGCCCTTCCCAGGCGATTGGGGGTGGGGTGCGGCATGTGGTGTCCGGGGCCGTGGGAAGAAGCGAGGAAAGGTGGGTTACTCGAAGCTGAGGGGGTGTGAAAAGCGCTCTTATCAATTTTTATGCCAAATAAGAATGGCGACTGGGCCGCATCAAACCTCGCCGCACGACAGGCACCTGTGCTTGTCAATTCTGACACTTTAGCTGCGCCCACGAGCACAAGCCGGGTGGGGCGCACTCACCCATGATAGAGTTGCCAAAGGGCTGGCGGCGGAAGCTACGCGGGGTGACGTTGGGCACCTTGGCCTTGTGCGCCAGCATGATGCTTGGGGCGGGGGCGGCGGACAGGAGGGGGCAGACAGGATGGGGCGCACGCGTGGAGGGTGCCACATGGGCAGCCTGTCACGCACAGCCAAAGGGCCATGCTGAGTTACGGCCTGGCGGCCAGCAGGCACATGGACTGGTAGCAATCCGCCTGTGCTGATGTGTGTGCGTCATGAGCAGCTGAGCAGCGGTGAACCGTTGCTGCATGATTGGCGCGGGGCCCGGGCCAGCTGCGTGGTGCCATTGGCAACGCTCACGTGAAGTAGGGCTGCCCGGGCGGCGGGTCAGACGCCACATACTTGCCCCACCAGTCGGACGACTGCAGCAGGCTCAGGATCAGCGGGGTCACCTCCTGCGGCGGGTGTGCGGCGGCGTGGCGGGGTGGCGATGGCTCAGGCAGTGTGGCAGCGCTGCTGTAGATGGGTCCGGGCCCAGGTTTCCCCTGCTGCCTTGCCCATGCACTCTCATGCCCCTTTGATTGGGGCATGAGAGCCCCTGATTGTTGTCACTGGACATAAGACAGCGGCGGGCCGAGTGCGGCGCCTGGCACTCCCTGCCAGCCCTGAACAACAGGGACGCCCTGCGTCTTCACGCGCGCCGCCCCATGCCTGCAGGGTGATGAACGTGGGGTGGCCGGCGTCCACGATGATGCGGCCTATGGCCGCCATGCGCTCCTCCACCGCCGCCTGCTCGTTGAACCACTGCGGCAGTTGTCGCACGCGGCACGGGCCGGCGGGTCGGCGTATGATAAGAAGTGTGGCGCGTGTGCCCCGGGCCACAGGCCCAGAGCTGCGCCGGCAGTGCAACTCAGGCTCCTGCAGCCAGGTTGTAGTGGGCAGTCCAGCAGGCTTTACCATCTCCCTACAGCCCCCTCACCACATTATACTGCAAGAGAGTGACTGTCCGCTGCTGCGTCCCCCGCGGGGCTGCTGCCGCGCCGCCTGCTGCCGCTGCAGCTGCTCCGCTTGGCGCTGCCGGCCCCGCCCTGCCCTCGAGCGACACAGCCGTGGGAGCCACGGCTGTCGCTGCCGGCGCTCGCGCTACCCCTGCTGCAGGTCTGCTGCCCGTCCCGCCATGGGCTGCAGGATCAGGTGCACCCTTTGGCGCCGCGCTGGGCCCTGCCGCGGCGGCCTCCGCCCCCTCCCGCCGCTGCGCCCGCGCCATGCGCTCTGCATGCAGCTGCGCGAGCAGCGAATTCGGCTGGCCGCCGCCGCCACCGGCGCCGCCGCTGCTGCCTGCACGACCAGGGGCCGAGCCGAGTTGATCCTGCTTTGCTGGCTGCTGCTGCTGTTGCTGCTGCTGCTCCTGCTTTTGCTGCGGGCCCTCGTCTGTTTCCCGCTGCTGCTGGGCAGGGCTGGCCCCCCTCCTGCGCTTCGCGGCGTTCACGCCAGTGGCAAACGCCATAATGCGCTTGCGCTGCTCGTCTGCAGAAGCCGATGCGATGGCTCCGGCCTTGGGCATCGGTGCATTGTCTTCGCCGTCGGAATGGGTGAGGTCGATCGCGTCGGCCATGGGGCTGTCTTGTGCCGGCTCGCCACGGCGGCCGCGGCCAGCGCCTCGGCTGCGCCTGTGCCTGCCACTGCCGCTGCCGCTGCGGTGCTGCACAGGGATGCCCTGCCCGATGTCGCCGTCACTGTCCCTGGCGCCTGCGCCCGTGGCTCCAGCGGCAGAGGGTACGAACGGGGCAGGGCCAGAGGGGATGCGGCAAGCAGCAGGCGGGGGTGATGCTGCTGAGGCCACTGAGTGGGCGGCGTTGGCACCGCGCGGTGCAGGAGGCGCTGTGCACTCTTTGTGAATTGGTGAGATGAGACTCAGTGGTGACTGACGGTAAGAGGGCTGCAGGGTGTGGTGACGACGGAGCCGAACTCGCGCCAACATACGGTACCGCAGATATCAATAATATGCAGGTATCTCCGTCATCGGTATAATAAGCTGTGTGTCACACCGACGGACCTACATACACATGCCGATGTAAAGTATGAATGCGTGCAAATGAACCTGATCTTTCAACCTTGGGGAGGGTGTGCATGCGTTCGTGGCATGGCCACCACTTGCATGTGCTCGCTAGCAATCTGAAGGACTTGTAGAGATCGGCGTTGCTGCAGTCGTCGACCGTGTGCAACAGCGCAGACACTCCAGGGCGGCAATGGCGCTCGCGTGCACGGGCAATCAGCAGGGCCTGCTGCACGTCTCCTTCAACCAGGACAACACCTGCTTGGCCTTGGCAACTCGCGATGGCCTTCGCATCTACAGCATCGACACGCACCAAATAGTGTACCGGAACGCCATCGGCGCGCTCGGGTGCGGCGGGCGGCCAAGCGTGTGTGCCCTCTTGAGCCATCGCCCCTCACCCCGGGGGTTGCTGTCGCCCTTGAGGCCCACCCGGCGACCGGCCCCGCAAACACGCCCACAGGCTGGCGGAGATGCTGTTCTGCACCAGCTTGGTGGCATATGTAGGCGCGGGCGAGCAGCCGGCGCTGACGCCGCGCAAGCTGACCGTCGTCAACACGTGCAGCGAAGTAGCCATCCAGCACATCAGCTTTGTGAGCAGGCGGGGCCAGTTGGGTGGGCATCGCGCTGCCTGACGCTTTGCCGGGGCAGCAGGTGGTGCCGGTGGCGCCCAGCCATGCGGGCGGCCTGCGGGCAGCTGCTCAGGCAGGCTGAGCAACAGCGGCTGCCGAGCGTTTCGCCGACCCTTGGAGCTCAGCTTCGACAAGCATTTCCTTCTCACTCCGTCCGCAGGCTTCATCCGTGCTGGCCGTGCGCATGAACCGGCAGCGGTGAGCGCCCTCATTTGCAGCTGCATCACTCTCTCGAGTCGTCCTGCAGAAATGCATCAGGGGTTCATGGTGCACCGCCTGCCTGCACAGGCACTAGCCCGCCCCAGGGCCACCCTACGCCCCGCCCCCCTCATACACAC